GGGTTTCACCATGTTGGCCAGGATGGTCTCAATCTCTTGACCACGTGATCTACCCACCTCCACCTCCCAAAGTCCTGGGATTATACGCGTGAGCCAGCATGCCCGGCGTCCAAGGTTTGATTTTTAAAACTGCAGACCAGCTTTGGTACAGAACCTCTCCCCCAGCAGGTTGGGGGCACATGTTTAGGCTAAATCCACTCACCTTAAATGTGACGTGTGTGTCTGAAAGGAGAGGGCCTTCAACCTCAATGATGGGTGTCGACTGGTCTCTGCTGATGACATGAATGCTCCCTCCTCCACTGGTATCTATCCCATCTGCCAGGCTTGGAGAAGAGGAGCTGTCTGTAGTATTAAGTGCTTTAGCTAAGGTATCAAATGCCCTGTGAGCAAAAATGAAGCATGGAAGTGTGGTGAAATCTACAGCTTTTAGGGGGAACAGAATTCTAGCTAACATATGAGTTAGAAAAACTACAATGGGAAAAGATAATTAAATTCTACCTGGTGAGGGAAACACTAACAATGAAATCTTCCTATTTATTTATTTAGAGATAGCAGAGAGGCTGGAGTGCAGTAGCAGGATCTCAGCTTACTGCAGGCTCCACCTCCTGGCTTCAAGCAATTCTCATGCCTCAGCCTCCTGAGTAGCTGGGACTACAGGCACATGCAACCACACCCAGCTAATTTTTTTTCATTTTTTAAGAGACTGAGTCTTGTTCTGTCACCTGGGCTGGAGTGCAGTGATGGGATCTTGGCTCACTGCAACTTCCACATTCCGGGTTTAAGCGATTCTCCTGCCTTAGCCTCTCAAGTAGCTGGGACTATAGGCCCATGCCACCACGCCTGGCTAATTTTTTTTTGTATTTTTAGTAGAGGCGGGATGTCACTATGTTGGCCAGGCAGGTCTCAAACTCTTGACCACAGGTGATCCACCTGCCTTGGCTTCCCAAAGAGCTGGATTATAGGTGTAAGCCCTGGCATTTGGCTAATTTTTTGCATTTTTAGTAGAGATAGGGTTTCACTATGTTGGCCAGGCTGGTCTAGAACTTTTGACCTCAAGTGATCCACGCCCCTTGCCTCCCAAAGTGCTGGGATTACACAAGTAAGCCATTGTGCCCGGCAAACAATGAAAGCTCAATATATTATCTACACATCACCTTAGGTACTGAGCTATATATTACCTAACTTCATGGGCAAATTTATATTTATTTATTTATTTATTACTTACTTCTTCAAAGATGGGGTCTCACTACATTGACCCAGGCTGGTCTCAAACTCCTGGGATCAAGCAATCCTCTTGCCTCAGCTTCTCTAAGTGCTGGAATTATAGCCATAAGCCACTGCACCCAGGCCCAATTTCTATTTTTCACAAGTACCCTCCAAAAGTAAAAATTATCTTCCATTTTACAGATGTTAACGTTGACCTTAAGTTGTTGAACACCTTTTCCAAGACCATCCATATAGTAAGTGGCAGAACCAGAATTCTACCTAATTCAAATCCTACCCTCTTTCCACTGGACCTAGATCTTATTTGTTATCAGACCACAGTGAACAAAGGACTGGAGCACTTATTAGTCTCCAGCTCTGTATGTGGCGGGTCTGGCATGTTAGGAGCAGAGCACAAGAGCCAAACTGCAGAGAAGAAACATCCTTACCAGCAGTTATCAACATCTGGCACCGGCTCATGCTATTTATCAGCCACTATCAAATCCAGTTACCCTGGTAGATTTAAGCTCTGACTTCACTACTCAGAAACAAATATATATGAGGGCTGGGCATGGTGGCACATGCCTATAATCCCAGCACTTTGTGAGGTTGAGATGGGAAGATCACTTGAGCCCAGGAGTTCTAGACCAGCCTGGGCAACATGGCAAGATCCCATCTCTGTTTAGGAAAAAAAAAAAGGAAAAAGAAAAAATATAGATGAGAAAAATAGGTTAAAAGTAGGAAAGAGAATGAACTCTTAATATGCAAATGCATTATTAAACAGTCATTAATGTAAATAACCGCTGTCCACTTAAACAGTTATCTCCATACTTCTACTGATTTACTCAATTTCCTTTTCCATGGTTTGGACTGTTTTATACTGTATAACATTAAGTGGGTCTATGTTCCCATAGTTAAAATCTGAAAGAAGACAGATGTAGAGGGTCACTGTAATGATTTTTTCATCCTCGGTTAAATACAGCATAGGTAGCAAAATGCTGTTTTCCACTCTCATAATATAGGGAGGGTGTGCAGGCCAGGAGCGGGGCCTCCACCCTCATAGGCTCATACCGAGTAATCTCACTTGCAGACTGGTCCTCTGGTTGGATTTCTGAAGTGTCACCGTTGTTCAAGGATTCACTTAGGTTGGCAAGGGAGGTCACTACATTTGCCAGTGTGCCCAGAGCTCCCTGGCTTGTTTCAGCCTATTAAACAAAAAATAAAATACTAACATTAAAAATGAACACACATATGCAAATTACTCTCAGGCCAATGAAGTTATAATGTTGGTTCAAAAACAGCTTCGAGGGGAGTGTGACTACAAAGGGGCAACACGAGGAAGATCTTTTTGGTGATGTAACAGTTCTGTATCTTGGTGTGGTGGTATTTACACAAATCTATATATGTGACAAAATGACAGAAGAAAAACAGACAAACTAAACTTCACTAAAATTAAACCTGTTGTGCTTCAAAAGAAATTGTCAAGAAAGTAAAAGACAACCCACAAAACAAAACAAAAGGACAACTCACAGAATGAGAGAAAATATTTGCAAATCATATGTCTCATGGTTTAGTAGCCAGAATTTCTAAGGAACTCTAACAATAATAAAAAGACAAATAACCCAATTTAAAAATGGAAAACGAGGCTGGGCACAGTGGCTCACAGCTGTAATTCCAGCACTCCGGGAGGCCGAGGCAGGTGATCACCTGAGGTCAAGAGTTCAAGACCAGCCTGGTGAACACGGTGAAACCCTGTCTCTACTAAAAATACAAATATTAGCACAGCATGGTGGTGGGTGCCTGTAACCCCAAGTACTTGGGAGGCTGCGAAAGGAGAATCACTTGAATTCAGGAGGTGAAGGTTGCAGTGAGACAAGATCGTACCACCACACTCTAGCCTGGGCAACAGAGATTCCATTTCTAATTTTAAAAAATTGAAAAAATAAAAAAATAAAAACAGGAGAAGGGGAAAAGCACTTTAGGAGGCTGAAGCAGAAGATCACTTGAGCCCAAGAGTTCGAGACAAGCCTGAGCAACGTGGCAAGGCCCTGTCTCTACAAAAAGTAAAAAAAAATTAGTCAGGCATGGTTGTGCGTGCCTATGGTCCCAGCTACTGAGGAAGCTGAAGTGGAAGGGTCACTTGAACTCAGAAAGTCAAGGCTGCACTGAGCCATGACTGTGCCACTGCACTCCAGCCTAGCACGCAGGCAGAGACCCTGTCTCAAAAACAAAACAAAACAAAGCAACAACCAAAATCCAAAGATAACAGGCATCTCTCCAAAGAAGATATATAAACAGGCCATAAGCATATGAAGAGATGCTCAACATCGTGAGAAATGCAAATGAAAATCACAATGACATACCACTTCACATCCACTGGGATGGCTATAATCAAAAAGATGGACAATAACAAGTGTTGACAAGGATGTGGAGAAATCAGAACCTTCATACACAGTTGGTGAGAATGTAAAGTAGTACAACACAAATGTCCATCAATTGACTAATGGATAAATACAATGTGGTATAGTCATACAAAGGTATACTATTAGGCTGGGCCCAGTGGCTCACGCCTGTAATCCCAGCAGTTTGGGAGGCCAGGTGGGTAGGATCACCTGAGGTCAGGAGTTTGAGCCCAGCCTAACCAACATGGTGAAACCTTGTCTCTACTAAAAACACAAAATTGGCTGGCTGTAGTGGGTCATGCCTGTAATCCTAGTACTTTGGGAGGCCAAGGCGGGTGGATCATGAGGTCTGGAGTTTGAGACCAGGCTGATCAACATGGTGAAACCCTGTCTCTACTAAAAATACAAAACTTAGCCAGGGGTGGTGGCACACGCCTGTGATCTCAGCTACTCAGAAGGCTGAGGCAGAAGACTTGCTTGAACCTGGGAGGCGGAGGTTGCAGTGAGCTGAGATTGTGCTATTACATTCCAGCCTGGGCGACAGAGCAAGACTCTGTCACTAAACAATACACACAAAATTAGCTGGGCGTGGTGGCACATGCCTGTAATCCCAGCTACTCGAAAGTCTGAGGCAGGAGAATCGTTTGAACCTGGGAGGTGGAGGTTGCAATGAGCCGAGGTCGTACCACTGCACTCCAGCCAGGGAAACGAGCAAAACTCTGCCTTAAAAAAAGATGTATTATTTGGCAATAAAAAGGAATTAAGTACTGATACATGCTACACCATGATGACCCTTAAAAACATTATGCTGAGTGAAAAGCCAGTCACAAAAGACCATCTATTGTATGACTTCCTTTATACAAAGTGTACAGAGTTGACAAAACCATCAAGCCAGAAAGCAGATTAGTGGTTGGCAGGTTTGAGAAGAGTGGGGAAGGAGGGGTGACTACATAGTAGGGGTTCAGGGTTTCTTTTGAGGTGATGAAAATATTCTAAAATTATGTAGTGGGGATGGTTGTACAACCTTGTAAGTAGACTAAAAACCACTAAATTAGACATTAAAAGCGTAAGTATTATGGTATGTGAGTTATATTTCAATTAAAAAAGAAAGCCAGGGGCAATGGCTTATGCCTGTAATCCCAGCACTTTGGGAGGCTGAGATGGGTGAATTGCTTGAGTCCAGGAGTTCAAGACTAGACTGGGCAACATGGCAAAACCCCGTCTCTACAAAGAAATACAAAAAATTAGCCAGGCATGGTGGTGTGCACCTATAGTCCCAGCTACTCAGGAGGCTGAGGGTGAGAGGATCACTTGACCCTGGGAGGTGGAGGTTGCCATGAGCCAAAATCATACCATTGTACTCCAGCTTGGGCAACAGAGCAAGACACTGTCTTAGAAAACAAAGCCCGAGATACACTTAAACCAAGATAATGTATAAACAAGGTTGTGTCTTGATTATAAAAGTGAAAACCTAGGATCAGTAGAAAAGGTCACAAACAAATGATTAATAAATCACAACAGAGACACAGAATATTGTGCAACTGCTGTAAGATCCTCATAATAGAAAGGTATGTTGAAGGAAATGAAGTTGAACAAGAATGAAATAAAAAAAAGACATAAAACAATACATATGGTTTGTACCAAAGCCAATGTCCTGGTTGTGATACTGTATCCTAGGTATGTATGTATGACATAACTACTGGGAGGACCCGGGTGAAGGCCAAGTGGGAGCTCTGTAACAGCACTGTACTTCCTTCATTGTAAATTATTTTAAATATATAAATATTTCAAAGAAAAATTGGAAAACAATTTCTGAAAGTAGCTTCCTTCAGGTGCTTTGCATATGTTTTATTAGTTGTATCAAAATTCTTTGGGGGTTACTGTTGTTTCCATTGTACGCAGGAAGGAATAGGGTAGGACACAAGTCTGCCTCTGAAGCTCTCTCTTGATTCCTGAAATGCCATACAGGTTTGCGTTCATTCTCCTCCAAAGTGACAATAACTAATTCCTAACCGTTAACGTTTATTGAATGCTCACTGTGTACCGAGAGATTTGTAAGTGCAGGAAAGAAGCACCTGGGTACCAAGAACAGTGCCAGACTCTGAGACTCCAGGTCTAGCCAGCTCTGGAGTCTTGGTTCTCATTCCCAGTCTCTGTGTGGACGGTCCAACAGAATGGCTGCTGTCAATCTCTTGGTAATCTGTTTTTAAGGTTATGTGGGCCTTATTTTCAGGCTTACACTTTCTTTGCATTTGACTATACAGTCAGAGCCACTGTTCCAGAATGAGTGCTGGTGATAACCTAAACCCACGTGATCCATCAGCTCCCATGATGCATGTGGCCCCTGCCCATAACAGGAGGTGCAAAGCCCATCCTGAGGACCAAAGCATGCAGGGCGGCTCTCCATGACAGGCAAGGGCTCTACATTTTGTCTTCTCTTTCCCAAAAGAGGATGCCCTGTAATGCCCCGAGTGCACCCATAAATGAGATTGTGAACAGATGAGAAGGAAGCCTGCAGGCTTTGCTCTGGTTCTAACGGTCACAGCAATGCCAGTGTTCTCAATTACTAAGTCACCGTCTTTAGACGGTAGAGTTGAGGTTTGCTGCTACTACTTCCTTACTTGGTTTACATTGGGAGTACCACAATGAGAAAAACAATGAGTTCTGTGAAAATTCTTCTCCTTGGTTATCTTCACAGGAGCCAGCCAGTCTCTCCCTTTTGGACTGACAAACATCTCTGTTCACAAGTTAAATCCCTATGACTGATTTGAAATTGTCAGATTCCTGGCTGAACTTGCTCCTGAAGATCATCTAATAAAAAGGAACCCGGGGCTTTTGCAAAAAGGCCATCTTAGGATAAGTAGCTCTTGGCTTGGTATGCCAGTAGTTTGCCAATGTGTATATGAGAAAAAGAAAACTATAATAGAAAAGAGAACCACAGAATGTCCACTAAATTGACGTCTAGACTGACATGTTACAGTCACTATGACCAGCCAGCCCTGACTGAGGTTTCTGAAAAGCCACTGGCATCTCTAAAACAAATCCCAATATAGCTATCACAACAAGAAGGAGACTGTGATGCAGGTCACACTTTTGATGTGGTCTCTGAAGGCCAGAAAGAAGGTGGTACACATAGTTAGGGCAGCAGCCTATAATGTCAGCATAAAGGATGAGAGAAAGAAGCATGAGTAGAGAACATCACCTTAGAATCCGTGGCCAGGAGAACTGTACCATCCTCACGTATCAAAGGCTGCTGGATGTTCACAAGCATCCCTGGATCAAGAAGACCTGTTTGTCTATTTAAGACATAAAGAAACCCAGAGTAGCTTCCAACATTTTATGCACAGTATGATCATTCTGCATTTACCTGTCCCTCCACATTTGTGGAGCTGTCTGAATAGTAGAAAAGCTCTAACTAGACTCAGTCGCTTAGTGACTAAACAATCCCCCCACCTGTCTTCAATGAGATGTACATAAAGTCAGGTTTACAGCTTGAGACAGGATGAAATGCAGATGCATCCCCCAGGGCTTCCCAGGATGACTGCAAACTGTGGCCATTCTGCCAAGAAAAGTTAACTTGATTTTCAGAAAATCAGCAAGGCATCCTCAACTCTCTGATACATTTTGGATTTCTTGTATTCCCCTCTTTCTGTACCTTTTAAAGTAAGTTCAATAGATTACTTTGAAAAGAATGTACAAATTAACTGTAGCATTGAGACCTTATCTCACCTTAGGCCTTTTGTCTATACTGCAGAAAAGCCCCAATCTTGAATTATAAAATAATTGTCTTCCTGAATGAATGATGCCTAAATTACAGGACATAATGTGAATTCAAGGCTTGGCGAAGTTCTGATTCCATCGTAAATCAGACATCCTCAGGCCTGTCCAGAGGTGTGACTGGTGACTGAGCAGCTCCAGAAGTGGCAAGATTAAGCAACACAAGGCTGGAGGCTGTGGCATGTGGGTGGGAAGCAACATCAGTGACCATTCTGGGGCATGTCTGTGCCTCCTCCATCAACTGCAAAGGATGACTGCAGCTGAGAACAAGGGACTGACCTTGCTCCATCTTTGTCTGCCACAAACGTGGGAGTGGCTATCAGGGGACTTCTCAGGTCCTTCCGGATATAGATTTTCTCAGTTGAAGCAGCACAATTGCTTGGTTTCTCCCGTTGCACATCGAAGGGCTTCCGTTCACTCTGTACAGCTTAAATCACAACATAAATATTTGTGTTTAGAGAAACAATTCGAATCAATAAAAACCACATCCCTCCTGGTAAAGCAAGGGGTTTTCTTTATAGTAAATCCGTTACTGCAGGGAGGATAAGCTTTGGTGCTAGATTCATCTAGCTCAGCCTTCAAAGTGAAATTTTCAGACAGAGAAAAGGAATCAAGCCAAACCATGCCATGTCCAATCTAGAGGCATAAGAAAGAGCTCATGATGGGTGGTACTCCCTGCTAAGAAACTACAGCACAGCACCTATGTGGCCTGTGGAAGTATCCATGAGGCCTCTGGGCCATTTTATTAATTTTATGTTATTTAGTTACTTTTTATTTTTGTAGAGATGAAGCCTCATTACGTTGTCCAGTCTGGACTCAAACTCCTGGGCTCTAGCAATCCACTGGCCCCAGCCTAAGTGCTGAAATTAAGGCATGAGCCAAAGTGCCCAGCTTGTTTTTACTTCATGCTCGTAACAAAACAGACCCTTCCAAGGATTAAGAAATGCCCGTCTTTGGGCTGGGCACGGTGGCTCATGCTGTAATCCTAGCATTTTGAGAGGCTGAGCCGGGTGGATCACTTGAGGCTAGGAGTTTGAGACCAGCCTGGCAAACATGGCAAAACTCTGTCTCTACTAAAAATAGAAAACTTAGCCAGGTGTGATGGTGGGTACCTGTAATTCCAGCTACTCGGGAGGCTGAGGCAGGAAGAACTGCTTGAACCTGGGAGGTGTAGGCTGCAGTAAGCCAAGACTATGGCGCCACTGCATTCCAGCCTGGGTGACGGAGCAAGACTCCATCTCAA